CGGCATCCGTGGCTCAGTATTGTTGGGTATTGTTGGTGGGAACGGGCGGCGCCGGCGACTTCTCGCGCCCCTTATACATCTGGGTGACGTCATGCGCTTTGGTTCTCTGCCCTTCTCGAGAGTACAAGCTGCTGACACCTTAAAGTTTTATATATATGTGTTTCATGTTTAGTCTAAAGCTATTTAAGGTATCATCTGCTAAAAACTCGAACTATAATTTAAGTTGTAAATTTACGGGAGCACATTCATTACTCGCCCAATGCAATTTAAGTCAATAAGTACTGCATAAACTTTTACGATTAAAAATTGTAATTTTACAACTTGAACGTCAAGGAAAACTTTCTTGTAAACCTTACCACTATTTTTTACAGTAATTTAAAGTCAACTAGAATTGCGCTGAGCGGTGCATAAGCCGCAGCTCGGACTGGGTCTCTGCGGCTCGAGCCCGGCCGGCATGGCGGCGGCCGACGCCTCGCCGCCCGCCAGAGCGGCGTCGCGCGACGCGGTGAGCCGGTCGGGAGAGCCCGCCGAGCCAGAAGCCCCGCCCGCCGCGAGTGCGCCGCGAGCCCGCCCCAAACGAGGAGAGGAAAAATAAAGCGCGGGGGGGAATATGGAGGCGGCCGTGACTCGCTGTTAATTCAGTACGAAATGCACACGATGCATTAGCATATCGCGTGCAGGAGGAGATATCAACCCGGAGACTCTCCTGGGCAGCTCGGGGGCGAGGGACGAGACCGGGGTCCTGGAGGTAAATGATATTTTTTTCGCGCAGATAAATCTTGTCTAGGGATTTCACGTAAAGGGAAACACGGATTACGTGAGAGCGGGGGCGCTGACCTGCCACGGCCGGCCGGCGGCGACCTTGCCCCGGAGCGCTAACTGCAAAGGCACACACAAGGGTAAACACCGATCAAATGCCCAAACAACTCTCGCTTCACGAGCACCAGGGCGACACTGGCTAAAGGGTTGGGTTAGTTACCCGTGAGCCAGCCGGGCAGCGAGGAATTTGCAAATTTGAAAAGGCGGTGAAAACGAATATAAATTTAAAACCAAAAAAAGGAAGAAACGGGGAATAAATAAGCGAGATGATGATACGGCCAATTTGTGGTGGCAAGGACTTTTGTTTATCGCTGCACTATACGGCCCGGGCTCGTTTTATAGACTGGCCGGACTCAGTATATTATTCCGCTTTTGTTTTTATTTCCGTGATGTTGGCAGCGCCTCGGCGGCGTTGCAGCGCGCGGGCGGGCGGCCATCTTGCTGCCAACCCCCACAGAACGAATAATGCATTAATTCAGAGCCTGTCGAGCGTAAAAATGTTAAAGAGAAAATATACGCCGAATGGAAAGTTCACCGGCAAGATCGTGATTATAAAACGAGGTTAAAATTAAGACAATCATTATTTGATCTCATTAGCCGTTTGCGTCTGTTTCCCAAGTTTCTACTTTGCAAAATTAACAGGCTTATTCACGGAACACGGCAGAACAGAGAGTTAGTTGACTGCGGCTGGCAGTGCGACGAAGAGAGGAAAAAAAATGGAACTTTGAAATCTGATACGCAGGCACACACCGACAGAGATGGAATGAGGAGGGAGAGCGGCGGGAGAGGGTGGGAAGAGGGGAGAGTGGAACGGGAGAGGGAGAGAGGGGGAGGGAGGAGGAAGGAAGGGAGACACAGTAACGTAAGAGGGTTGGCTTTGGGGCGGGGACGCCGGCACCGCACCGAGATACAGAGCGAGTCTCTCTGCTGCATAGAACATGGTCGACGCTTTTATCTCTGGGGAGAGGGGACGCCGCCGCCCCCGCATGTGGAGGGTTGAAAGCCTGGAGGAGGGGCGGCCGGGAGGGATGCGAGCGCGGCAGCGCCTGGGCGGCGCGGCGAGGAAGAAACGGTTTATTTACCCTGAATTATGTCTGGGCCAGGGGCTGGGGGCGCACGGCAAGGAGGCGTTGGTACTCAGCCAAAGTTTAGGCGCAAAATTTAAAAGCAAGCGACGTTGTGGCACGAGAAAGAGCGCGTTAGAACATCTGTATCGTGTCATGGCCTGTCGTACCGGGTACAGGAATATTTCCCATGAAAGATGTAGTCTAAAAATTACAACACTGCTTATCGACTTGGAATTGAATGACGAGCAAGAGTTGTCGAGGAGGTTGTACACATACGACCTATTCTTTAATGGGTAAATTATTTCTACAGTCTCAAGCTAAGTTTCATGTCAGGATTTTACTACACACAAAGAAACAGTTCTGTATTTTACTCATTGTTCAGACTTTGCGAGGCCTCCGTGGTTTATCCCCGCATGCCTTCAGTGTCAGCGTTGGTCATATTTCCCTGCTCTGCAGCCAGTGTGACAAACCAGTGACAACTAGTGACACCCATTACAACGTTTTGTGTACCTATCTGCGCATCCTCATTTTTTTTTTCGGGTACTTCGCAGACAACGCTGAGCCGGCCGGAGCGGTCTAGGATGTGGCAATCATTAATTGGAGTTACGAGGTGGCGAGGACTCACCGGCTGCGGTTCCATTGTGTGACTGCGGGGCCATCCTGGAGGCGGCGGTGGGGGCGCTCGTGACGTCGTCGCCAAACAAACAACGCTGCAACAAGCAGGCCGCGACGCAGCCGGGGATCGATCCCGGGGCCGCGAGGGAGGCCGGCGCGCGGCGGAGCAGAGCAAGGAGAAGGCGGTGCGCGTCGGACAGCGGCTAGACAGACACTGAAACAAGAACGTCCAGGATGCAGGGCTGTGTGCATAACACACAAACACAACACTCTACAAAGCGGCCGGTGGCGTAGTTGGTGCGGGGGAGGCGAGCGAGCCAGACAGAGAGAGAGAGAGAGAGAGAACAAAGGGGCCCCAACCCGAACCCCTGCTTTACATACTAAAGGGGGCAGTTTCACGGGGGTTCTTTTTACACCAGTTTCGGCAAATACGCGAGATCCCGTGCAATGAAAAAAATTGCGCCACATGCCTGTCAAACCATGGGTATGAGCAAAGAAAATGTGTGGGTACTTTTTAGGTCATTGGGCCAGTCGCGATAGAGTTCCGCGCCGGCTCCAAAGGCGACAAGAAGAAGCCTTGTTATCCTCGCGTATCGGTCATGTACACAAACCGCCAGACTCCCCCGCCCTCTCGAAAAAGGTATCGTAAAATCGTTTCATCAGAATGCAGCACAAACGCGCTTACAACGACGTGCAAGCAGAGCGTTAAATAGCATCTCGCATAAGTAAAGAGTAGGTACTTTTAACTCAAGTATAAAGTAAACATCACAATGACGCTCGACTCGAAAAGAAAAGGCGTGGCGTGGTGTTGTAGGTCCAGCCTATTAGCGGCACAGGCACGAGAAGTTAGAAACCGATACTAAGACGTGCGAAATGACTAGTATCTCACGACGACAACTTGGTCCTCTTCCTGGGCACAATGTGCCGTCAGCTGCGCCCTGGTGCAGAGGCGGCCGCGGCGTGTAACTCCCAGAATCGGGGATGAACCCGGACGGAGAATAAACACAGGCACAGCCAAACAAACGGGCGGCCGGCGGGCAAAGGGGCCAGGGGCACCGCGGGGGGCTGTATTAATAAACGATACTACTTAGGTTCCCATGAAGAAGGGGGAAGCATGTGCACCACCCCTATATGTTCATAATCGTTGTGAATATTCTCAGCCGTAACGTTAGTCGCCACCCCTTCCCTCCGGAAATCAGGCTTCATGGTGGTTGGCAAATTGCTATAGGAGCTGCCTCAACCCGTACAATGATGCGATACGTGATTGGTGAGATGGCTAAAAGGTCAACTCTCTAGCCTCCAGAAAAGAAAAACGATGATTCAGGTCCGAATAAAAATGGAGGGACACAATGGAGAGGAGAGGCGAGGGCGAGCGAGTTGGGCAGGGAGAGTATTAATATCAGAAAGGGAGGGAGAGCGAGAGAGAGATCGAGAGAAACAGAGTACGGCGTCCTGCACCGCGCTCTGCCATCAAATACTTTAATGCCCTTCACATGATTTTAAGGTTGACGTTTTGATGATGATAAAGACGACACATCGGCCGATGCGGGCTGGACGGGGTTTAAATTTCAAAGAAAAGGAGAAAAAAATGTTCCTCAGAACTTGCTGTGACGCTTTTAAACAAACAGGAAACGGTGACACAGAGAATGTTTTGAGAGGCTGGCCAGCGGGCTAGCCTTCTGAGTCCGTGGTCACCGAGGTAGCCATACCGCCACATACGAAAAATAATCCATTACAGGACAAATTTACGCAGTGAAACAACAGTGATACGAAGTACAGGTTGCAGCACTATTTTGAAGGATCTCCCACCGTGGGGCTGTAGCCCCTCTGTGAAGAAGTAGAAGTAGAAAACAATGAGAGAGCCTTTAGGGGCATAAGTGCAATAGAAAGATCACTGTGAAAAATTTCCTCGTAAAGTTACGACATTTCTTGTAATTTGGAATTACAAAACATTGTTGTAAATTTACGGCGCACCATTTTTGCTCCTCGATCAATTCCAAGTCGATAGGAGGTAATTGTAATTTTACAATGTCAAGTTGTAATTTTACGAACTCACATCATGGAAAATTTTCCTGTAAACTTACGACTATTTTTCACAGTGATACGAGGACAGCGTCACTGTGGTAAAGTCTTTTAGTACTGCAAGAGACAATGAGCACTTTACCAATTTCAAAATTCAGAAACCCATACAGGTTCTGCCTAGATCCCAATAAAGCAATAAGTGAAACAAACGCATTTGCGTTGTTTTCAAACGAGCCCGCCAATAAAAGAAATGTAGTTACGGAGGGCCGCGGCAGACGACGACGCACTGCGCCACGTCACAGGCCGCACTGTGGCTAACCGCGGTGACGAGCTCGCGCCGCACTTCGCCACCACGCTGTTTTTGCGCCTCGAAGAAAGTCCATAAAGCAAAAACAGCGTGAGGCAAAAGGGCGGGAAAAGGGGGGGGGGGGGGCTACACACTACCACACCCCAACACCATCCCACGCGGGCACCTAAGAGCTGGGCGATATTATTTTTTCAAAACCAATAGACAATATTTTGGTATATTGGAATTTTGTCCAATATCAATATGTCTGTATTGGAATATTGGTAATATTGGAGTATTGGGTTATTGGAAATATTCAATATATTGACGAATTAAACGAAAAACACTAGTTTTAGACGTCAATTGCCTGAAAGGGGCCACCTGGTGTGAGTAAAGACGTTACCAGGGGTGCTGAACACTTGTTCATATAGCAAACTAGAGCCTGCACCACCGCTTGCCCCCTTGCCCTGCCACCCCGCTCCGTTTATTCAATATTGGAATTCCAATGTTCTAATACACCAATACAGAAATATTGATATTAATGGCTTCAAAAATTCCAATATTGGCGACCAATATTTTTTGAATATTGATATTGGTGTCAATACATTGGAATATCGCCCACCCCTGCCTGGTGACCACCTCCAATATTTGAATCGAAAAGAGGCGCTCATTTTCAAGTGGAGAAGTTTCCGTTTGCTGGATCACGCAGATTTTGTTTTTCTTCCAACACGAAGTAGGCCCTTTTGGGCGTTTCCTCACGGGAGAGGAAAGGGGTGGCTAGGGGGACAGGAAAGTGGAAGGGGCAAATCCAATTTCGTAAACTTGTCGCCGCCGTCTCGGGGCGTGGGGGGCTCGTGGCGGGGCGTGGCGGGGCGTGGCGGGGCGTGGCGGGGCGTGGCGGGCAAGGCGGGGCTACAAGGCGTTCCTGTCACGGCGACGGAGTTGAACAGCCACGTCCGCTTTGGGAGGCCGAACCAGGAGGAACGGGATTAGGAGGGGAAGGGGCACCACCGGGGCCGCACGGGGCAGCTCCGTATATCATACTGTCACGAAGCCATGCCGGATTCTTTTTCTTCTTCTTTTTCCCGCTCCGCCGGTTCCGATGGCTGGACAGCGATAGGCTGCCGGGCGGGGTATGCCGGTGTGTATGTGTGTGTGGTTTGTGTGTGTGTGAGGCGGCAGGGCAGGGAAGGCGGTATGCAAGAGACAAGCCACAAGCGTATAATGAAGGTCTAAGCGAACGGACGGATTCCGGCTCAACCGGAGTCGAAATGGTGGGGTATTGGATACATCGTCAGCTATAGCTGTAGTTGTTAAGCTTCTGACATGAGAAGTATTTCTGATGCTGATATGAAAGCGAACATTTTAAAAAAGAATCAAACGTGGGGAGTAGGAAAAGGGGTTGCAAGGCAATTTACCTCGCAAATTTAAATTTCTTCAAATGATGTCAAAATTTGATGAAAGAATAAAGGCCATCGCGACACCATAGACGCGAAGTCGAGCCACCCGTTCCAAGACAAACGCAGTTCAGCTGCGCGCTCCGAAAGACACGCATTTTACCGCTGGAAACTGCATGAGCTTTGCATTGAGCGGATTAACTGCGTGTCTTTCGGACCGCGCGTGTGCGTTGAAAGCGCGGCTGCACAGTTACAACCTTACGGAGCGAAATGCCAAATCCTTCGTAGGCACAAGCAAATGCTTCGTACCTAAGAAGGATTTGGCATTTTGCTTCGTTGGTTTTCATAGTGTGAACGCTGAATTGCGTGCTTTTCAGAACGCGCGGCTGAAATCGTAATTTTCAGTCCGAGGTGTCGATAGAATGAAAATTAGGAATGAAGTAAACATTTTAATTCTTTTTATTTTAGTACATGTTCCTTGATTTAATTATATTATTGCTACTTAAGCCGTTCAAAGTGGTCCAATTACGAAGTCAATGTATAACATTACACCCGTGCACCGCGCACACATAATTCCATTTATAATAGTAAAGCAATCTCCATACGTCAAGTCCATAGAAGTAGTTGTAGTACTAAAGTGCATGTTTTCGCACATTCAATCAACGCTAGTAGCAGGACACAGGTACTCAACTCAGGTGCGCGACGGTGTCCCGCTGCGTCCAGCGGGAAAGGGCCTGGGCGGGCCACGAGAGAGTGAGTGTGTGAATGAGTTTACTAAACGATTTTATTAACACTAAAGAGCAGTGCGCCGAGTGCTCTCGCTCTCTCTCTCTCTCTCTCTCTCTTTCTCTCTCTCTCTCTCTCTCTCTCTCTCTCTCTCTCGTAAGTGTTTATTGTGTACACAGAGTGCAGCTATCTCATTACCGTAATAACAATGTTGACACGTTGTCCGCTTTATGAGTCAACGGTGAGACCGACTATTAGCTAAACTGTGTACGGTTGTCAAACTTAACGACCTTCCTTGATTTGGTGTTGTATTTGACACAACTGGTTGCAACACAGTTTTTTTTTTCGGGTAAAAGATTGCCCGAAAATTCTTGCAACGGTAGAGCGGTTACAGCAACGGTTACTACCATTTAACAACTATGGGCAGGCAATATACAAGATTAGAAATGAAAATACTATTAAAACAAGCGCCTGCCCTGTACTAGAGCCGACTAGAGCGAGAGAGATGGTGCGGGGGAGACCTATGGTAGAGACAGTCTCGCGGACTGTCTAAGAACAAAATTCAACTCCAACGCCGGGCGAGGTCGCTGCGCACGGTTGGGACGGTTGCGGCGATGGCGCGGTGCGGCGGGCAGCTACTCCGCCCGGGTGCGAGTGGAGTATCCCCGGCTGCTCGCGGGGTGTCGCCGCTGCCGCGGGGAGTAGCGCCGGCCGCGCGCCGGGGCGGTAGGCAGCCCATGCGGCACGGCGCGCGGAGCGGTCAGCTGCCGTCCGGGCGCCGCGCCCCACCGCGCCAATCTGCACGGCCAAATTTGCAACTCTTCATTTCGCGTTCTGATCAGACACTTTTGCTCTGTGCAATAGAGGGCACGGGTGTCCCGGAGAGGGGAG